CTTCTGAACCAATTTTTCAGTTATCTGATCTTTGCTTCCTTGTTTCTTTTCAACTGCATCCAAGGATTGTGGGAAGTCTAATTAGAAGCTGCTTTACTTCAAGAAAGCACTAAACTCGCTTCTTCGTGTAAAGAAATAGTTTGCAGCCTCTCAGCTAGTGTTGCTCTATCGCCCCTTCATCAGAGTTAATCTCATTAGTTTCAGAGCTTTTGGTCTGACACAAATGCAACAGCTACATCAGTATTTGCCCTCAAATCAAGTCATCTTCCAACCACTGGCTTTCTCTGTGGGACCACTCAGATCTTTTAAAGTGAATTTCTATGGAAAAGTTGTGAAAATTTTATATTTTATGCAAACTTATCAACATAACTCTCTGGGCCATTTGCAAATATTTATACACATATAATTTTAGTCCTTTGCAAGTGAAAACACATCAGTGGCAACCAATACATGTGAACCACAGTGATGGCAGTAGACCGATGTCAGCTGTCAAAAAGGTCCTCAAAGGGTGAAAAACATTTTCCTTAAATTCCAACTGACATCACATTCAATTCATTTCAACTCAATTCAATTTTATTTATATAGCGCCAAATCACGACAAGAGTCATCTCAAGGCACTTCACATAAGAAACATTCCAATTCAGGTCAGTTCATTAAGCCAATCACATGGTCATGTACCCCTGATACCGGAATGCGCAATGACAGAAAACAAGAGACCACATAACATCTGTCACCGTTTTCTAGGTCCAAACCATATTGGACAATTCGTGTCCATAGGCTCCAAATATAAGTTTTTGTGCCAAAATGGGAGGTTCCCACCATCACCATTTTGACCGTGTCACAGGTTCTGTCAAGCCCAGACAATTCCAAAAAAGGGAAAAGAGGTGGAGCTGAGGGTGGGGCTGTAAGCCTGGGATCAAATGACAACACCCGTTGAACTGAAGCTAATGTAGCTACAAGCTAGCCCAAAGCTAGCGCGGAGGTGGGAGCTAAGCTAACGGAGGTAGCTTCCTAGCTACAACCAGAGTTAACTGTGCACAACACCAGAGCTTCTGAGTCAGAGTTTTTTTAAACTCCACAACATATTTATAGCTATATTAGAACGTTGTTAAGAGGACTGAAAAAACTGTTTCAAGCTGTTTTATCATTGTCTAGATATTCCCAGAACATCCTTGAGTGTTACTGGTGCTCCGACATTCTTCTTTGTTGTTTTCCTCGTCCACCATGTTAGCAGTAGTTTGGGCCAGTGTTAGCTTGACCTAGCATTTTCCTGCAGTTAGCATTACCACGGCCATCCGTCTACTCATTGTCTATGTCCGCTTATCCACACATGGATTACCATGACCAATGTTTATGTATCGCCAAGGCGTGTCTTAACTTATGACATGTTAAACCAGCTTTTCTCAGAAATGTTATGGGCCTAGGAAAGGGGGTCGGAGATGGCATAGAGTTTTTGATATGCTAGGTTAGACATCCCAAGCTGCCTACTCAAGAACAAGATAAATATGGTTTTAAATTCTAGAAGACTTTTAAACTAACAATAATCTCTGTTTAAACCTGTTAAAATCAGGACATGTATTTGATATACAGATTAAAAATCAACACAATTAGAGGAAATTTGATCTTAAAGTCAAATATTTTCAGACTAAGTTATTAAATCTTTATATTTTGATCTATGAAGTCTCGTTCACACCAAATGTGGATTGGATATGGTCCAGTTTTCATACAGCTTCCGTAAGGACTGTCGTTCACACTGACTGCAGTTTGTGTGCTGAACGTCTCCAGATATCTGCTCTCACAAGAGCACCAGACGATTAAAAATTTAACATAATGGGTGTAAAGATATGCCTGCAAAAACAGTGAGAACCATTACCCACTGTGGACTGACAGAAAAGGCAGAAAAAAATGTAACACAAGTTGTATTTTCAAACACAACGGATGCACTTTGCTGTTCCGCGTTTCACTTCCTGTCTGACTCATGTAAATTCATTATTTTCATGGCAGTCCACATGCGGAAACTTTCCAGAGCTCCACCTTCAGATCCGATACCGATCCGCGCCACAGCCGGTATGAATGCTCTGGATGGACTCAATGATCTTTGAACAATGCTGAAGCCGTACAGAGTCCGGACCACATCTGTTCCACATTCAGTGTGAATGAGGCTTTAGTGAGATTAAATAATTCACACTTTCTTGTGTTGTCCAAATACGTAACAATATCATTTTGATAATTTACGGCCAAACTTCTTTATGTGGTTTCCAATGTCGGGGTCGGGTCCCCACTACGGGTCACAAAGCATTTAGTTTAAGGTCTCAAAAATGTCCTAATACGACTGCAGCATGCTTGAGCACTTCTAATGAGCTATCTGCTACAGGTAGGATATAAATTATTCGTCATTTTTCCACAAAGTCACACTTAAAAAAAATCTGCTTAAACTCCAAGGTCTTTTGTACCCGCTGTCCGTGATTCAGTCGTGAACCTGGCTCCGTCCAGACACCTTGTTATCTGTGTTATCTGAAAACGGTTTTGGTGTTGAGTAAAAGCAACACAGGACAGCATGTGATGGGTTTCTAGAGTCATTTCTAAAGAGGGGCAGGATAAATATAGTCCAAAGCTTATCAGAGGCCACAGCACCAACACTCCCCCAGGCTGGCCTGTGTTGGGCTGGACTCTCAGACATGGGAGGCTCCACAAATAAGACCAGTCAGGTGTGACAAGCCTGGCTTTAAGGTTCAGGGAAATTTAATATGAGCGTGTGACAATTTGCATAAAGTCAAGTGAATGCCAGGTTACATTAAACAAAGCTCTATAGCTTTTAGGATCTGTGAGGGAGAAGAGGTACAGCAATACTTAAATATTTTGTTTTTAAAGAGTTTTAGGTTTGTGGAGCTGTTGGAGATTTAAATGTTTGTTTTTGTTAATTAGACAGAAGCTTAAAACATCTTATTCTGTTCAGGCGTAAATTAAAAATATCATCATGGTTTGTTTTTTTCATTTTTAAATGATCTTTATTCATTTGAACGGTTTTGCTTCGAATTATTTATTTTTTATTTTTGGTCTAATAATCATATTTTTTATTGATTATCTTTGCAATGTCTGTGATACAAATACAACTAAACTTTACTTAATTTTTATCTTTATGTATTGTAGGACAGATTAATATAATTGACAATGATAAGATATGATTTAGAGAATAGCTGACAGTTACTGAAATGATCATGATCCAAATAATCAAAACATTTCCTTCTTGATGCGTTTGTGATCATAAAAACAAGTTCATCTTTATTTACATTGAAGTTAAGCTGCTATGTGACAAGGGACCGTCTATTGTGGACGTCAGAGTTACACGGCATGGTGAGAAGCGTGCAAGGGGTGAGACTTGACCTGTCTACTTGGTATGTACACGTGAAAGTGAGGGGGGTGGGGGGGCGGGGAGGGAGCCCTTATGGTGACTCAGCATAAACACGGTCTGCTGGGCCTGTGTGACCTCGTTCATCAAGTTGACACCCGGTTCTGTTTCTGCTCTGTGATTCACAAGGAGAGGACGAGGGAAAAACAGAAGAAAGAAACAGGATGGAGAGAGCTGAAGAGGGGGGCGGTCAGGGTGAGAAAATCCACAAAATAAGTACAAGTACAAGAAGTAAACACACGTGTGAGCGCGATCACAACCAGACTGGATGGGCCGAGATAGCGGGAGATAAACAGTGGCAGCGTGACGAGGAGAGGGGGGGACCAGAGCCGCCTCGTTTCAGTATGCAGTAAACACATCCGCACACACACATCCATTCTGCTGAGCCGAGTGTTTAAAAATCTGACATGATTCAGCTATATTTAAACCGCTACTTGTCTTTAGGTGTTGGCATCCTACAACATGTCCCAACACACAGCGTGGCTTCCATCAAGCTTTTGTGTCTACGAGCTGTAAAGTCAGCGTGTCCTCTTTTAAACACAAACACTCAGCTGTCAACATGAATGATGCAGATGTATTAAACACTTTCACTGACTAACCAATACCGGGGGTAAAAAAAGGACTCCTAGCTTTAATTTTTTTAATTTCTACTACTTTTGAATCTGCTACTGGACTTGACCTCTGGATGCTACGTTTTCTTGCTGATGGTGAAAGTTTTTCATATAAATAATGCTGTAATACTGCAAACTTGAGCAGTTTTATTTTACAAAACAATTATTACTGTTTGACGAGAGTATGATGCATGCTGTTTGGACTAGCCGTTAGCTCATCAATCCCATTGGAGGTAAATATGAACAAAGCTTGTCCAGGAAGCTCTCTGCGATGGGCAAAAGTAACTTAAAAATTACGTTTGACAGATCAAGAATAGAATCAGGTGAGTTTAGCTGAAAGAAATCTTGACCCCATGTCTGAAAGCAAATGATCCCATGAACTGAAACTCCCTGTGAGGATGGGTTAAAGGTCAGCGTGGAAAATTCCTGGAGTTAAAAGTCTTAATGAACATTAATCCAAACAAAAGGACCACAGGAACGTCTCGTCAGCTCATGGCTGTGGATTAATTACAGCCCATAGAGGACACACAGAAGATGAGTTTATCGTTTCTCATAACCCCGCCTCTGTTTTTGCCTGAAGTGGAGCTCAGAAATGAGGCGTCGTGTAAAGAAGCTGATGTAAGCACCGCCGTGTTTGAACACTGGTGATACGGAGCCAGATAAGCTAGTTAAGCAGTGTTGAAAAATAAAAACGTCTCAGGGCTTCAAACCACTCCACGTGAACTTTATCAACTTTTTTTTTTTCTGTAAACACTAAAGTCTGAGTGAAGTGTGCAAGCCAAGGGAACACCCAGCTTCGATGCCAGGTGGTGGTGGTGTGGAGTGATAAAAAGTCAGCCCCCCCCCCTCTCTTATGAGCTGGATCTGACTGCACAAACAACCTAGAAAACACACACACACACACACACGACGAGCTTCATCGGTGACCGAACCAGGCACGGTGTTAGCCTAGTTAATCACTAAAAGAAGAGATATAAGGATCTTTATGTACAAATTTTATTTTATGGCTTGTTTGAACGAACTGTAAAAAGACATTTTTATTGGACAGAAAAAAATGAATCCAGTCACAGAAATTTACGAACGAGCACAAATCGACTGGTAACATAAAAACAAAACACTTGTTCCTGCAGCTTTGAGTCTGCAGATTGAATGACATCAAAAAGCCATTTAACTTCGTACCATTTATAAATACCTACATATAAATATTGAAAATGTGTTTGATGACTGAGGGTGACAGTTTTAAACAATCTCAGTGAAGAAAATGAAAAGGAACAAAACAGGTGTTTGAGCTCAGTGTTGACAACATGAAGCTCCTAATCCCCACATACCACCTACATCCATCTGAACCCAAGGTCAGTCACATCGCTGTGGACTAGTCTCAGCACTGAGCTTCAGTAAGGCCTCTTGAATTTTACTACAATAAAATAAAGTGTGCAGTCCTTAACAGATGTTGTTAGGAAACTTTAGTCCTTGAGGTGAGATCTCTCCCCATATTTCTGCATGGAGCCTAAAACCTGAAGTTTCTTTATGAAGCAGGGCTCTGCATCATCGTGGAGACGAAGCCTGATGGATTTCCTCCTTGGTCGTTTCTCAGACCGATAACAGCAGCAGTGTCCGTCAGATCCAGACCAGACCCTTCGGGCTGGGAGTAAAACTGTGTCAAGCGTCCCAGATCTGTCCTACCAACAGGCGCGACTTCCTCTGACTGAGCCAAAACATGCCAACATGGATAATTGCATAAAAAACATTAATACAATAAAATAATAATATTAATAATAATAAAAATGAAGTGTCATCTTCTGGAAGCCCTTGGAAACATCCACATATTGTACGTCGTTTAGCTTCCCAACTCCCAACAGTCCTCTCTACCCAAATATCAAGGAGCAAACAGCTCACACTGATCGTATAGTGCAATCACCCCCCACCCCCGCCGCTCAGGACAGCCGTGTAACTCTGCAGGAGTTTCACCATCCTCCATCCAAAAGTCTGCCTCCTCCTCACTGCATGCGCTCAGGCTGGATGTGCTGCTGTGGGGCGTAGTGCAGGAAGGCGGGGGCTTGGCCCGTGGCGGAAGGGAGGGTTGGGTGTACGGTGGCGGGGGCGGCTGGGCAGGCACTGGCTGTGGGGCTGGTGGCGTAGCTGTAGCTCAGGAAGCCAGCGGGGGAGGCAGCGTACGGGTACTGCTGGTCCAAGGTGGCGTGAGCATACTGGCTGTAGGCGGTGTTGTAGTCCAGGTACGGGCCGGTGCCCACTGATGCCGACAGCTGAGTTGGGAGCACCAGGCTGGGCTGAAAAAAGGCTTGGGGGTAGAGATAGGACTGGGCCAATCTGCACACAGATACAAGAAGTGGAGGTTAGACCAAACTCCCAGGATCTGGCTTCTATTGTTTACATGTCTCACAGAGGACATGTGTTCAGAACACAGGTAGCCTTTGTCTCCACTCATATTTATAATGAAATATTTACATTATGAGCAAGTGACAACAAAAAGTAGAGGAGGTTAGCAGACGGAGGTGACTCAACGCTCTGACAGTTGGTGAAACCTACAAAACCTGTTGGGTCGGAGCTGCTGGGCTAGACGGGAGGGAACAAGTGGGGTGGGGAGGTTACTGGCAGGTTCTCAAACTCAGCAGTCAGTGTTTTAACAGCTGCTGACACACACACACACACACACACACACACACACACACACACACACACACACACACACACACACACACACACACACACACACACACACACACACACACACACACACACACACACACACACACACACACACACACACACACACACACACACACACACACACACACACACACACACACACACACACACACACACACACACACACACACACACACACACGTTTGGCCTCAATGACTTTGTAATGCTGCCACAGTCTCACAGGTGATGGGGAGTATATTGGGGGGGGGGGGTCTAGGGAGCTCATCACTGCTAAGACCAACTCGGGCAAAGCTGATGAACGCTGTGGGGGTGAGGGAGTCACCAATCAGATCGCCTGAAGAGTGTAGCTGTTAAAATCCCACCTGTTGTATATGGCTTGTTGAACAACCTCAGTTTGGAGAAACAGATGAAACCGACTTAATAGAACTAGCATTACTGATAAATGCCATTAGGCTCAAACCGATGCCGTTTGACCCTTTAACATCATCGGTCTCATGTCCATGTCTGGCAGAAATATTACAAAATGATGTCTTCAAGTGTTACAGTTGTCATAAGAGTTAGTTATGTGCACCTGTTGTTTATACCCAAGTTCTTGTTTCTCCAAACTGAGGCTACTCTCTGAAAACCCTCCCCTCCGAACCAGTTTGGGCTTTCGTCATTTATCAAAATATTTGAGATCATAAAGTCAGCTTTAAACAAAGTTGTTTAAAGAAAAAAAGAAGCCTCCTTATCTGTTCAAGTTTCACTCGGCAACAAATCACAAAAGAGCAAATTTCACCAAATGAAAGAATGAAGCCTCTGTTACCAATCAACTGGAACATGACTAGCCCATGCCTCATCCACCCAGGCTGTAGCCATTGGAAATTAAACAAACTATTTTTTGCAAACTAAATTCAAGGATTTACAATTAAATGCTAATAACCTTCAACCAAAAGCCCATGAAGAAGTCTAAGCTATCCCTTTAAAGGTTCTCTCTCCCATTCCTCCCTAAACACATAAGACACAAAACGTTTCATATCAAGGGTAACGTCGCTGGCTTTTGAGAAACCTCGCCTCTTGATTTCAGAAATAAATCAGCTTAAATTCATAAATACCTTTTGTTTTCTAGTGATCCATTAAGATATGCGACCTAGAATTCAACAAAAGCAAAATACTGAAACATGCATGAAGTTCATTACGCGGAATACACACACACACACACACACACACCTTTATCCCTGCCCACACACCAGTTACCACAGCAAACTTAAAACCATGCCATAATAGGGAAGGAGTCACACCACAGTCAGCAGAACCTCTTCTGTTCATATCACACAGATAAGTAAAACAAAAGAGATGAAGGCACTCCAATCCATCACAGCACACTGCACTCTGAAGCCATCACTGGCACCTTGTGGCGAGGCCGGCTGGGAGGGAGGAGGGAGGCCAGACACCCTCCCTCCAGTCCCGACATCATCTGATCCTCTGCTGGAGCTCCGGTCAGCTGGTCAACGACGGCAATTGTGGCACAAAAAGGTGGATAAGAAGAAGGAAGTTAAAGCGATTTCTGTCAGCAGTAAATATCAGATCCACCAGCAGCATCACACTTTTTAGAGTGTGTGTGTCGGGGGGAGTCGTACAGCAAAGCAAACAAACTGGACTTGGACATGAAACTTTACATGACCGTCTACGGAAACTAAAGAAATAAAACAAAGAAGGCTTTAAGAATCCCCCACCAACACAATCTACACGTTACAACGGCTACCACCCCTCTCACATGTGCAATCACATGTGAACTAGTTGTCTTATAGGGTTGGAATGTTTCGCCCACTCTCACGTGAACATCCAATCCAGACCGAGTTTCCTTTTTTCCCCTGCTAACATACCTTAAACCATAAACCTCCAACCTTGTGTGGAACGAGGTGCTCGTCTCTTTGTGAGAACAGAAAGGTCAGCTGCACATTCAGCTTTTATCTAAAAGGAACTTGGGACAATTTGGGGATGAGCGCGAGCCCTGAAGCTACGGAGTTGGCAAAAATACAGCAAAACCATGGCAGGAGGGAGAACGTGGATGACAAGAGGAATATCGTTGGTCAGCTGGTTTTGTGCTGACGGATGGTGGGAGCGTGCTTTGACACCAAGCCGCCCTGAGTGGCAGGCTGAGCCACCAGAGGGACAGGAGCTGACCATGAGGAGGAGCTGGAATATTTATCATTACACAGACACGTAGTGAGTTCCTGTGAAAAGCCTGGGCGATGTCACACGGAGCAGCTAAATATTTCTGCAGGATAACACAAATGACCTTCAGCGCACGATGCAATGCAACGCTAAGTGTGAAAACAAATAAGACCAGCTTGGGCTGGGTGGTGGGTTTAAACGCCTCCCAAGAGCAGGACTCGAGTTTCCTGCCATCCTCTAAATAACTCGTGTTGCTAGACACCTGCAGAGGTGAGGTCTCCACCTCATTATACAATGTCTAGAAACCTCCCCTCCCCATGACTCTCCAGCCCAATCCCCTCGGCTCCCTCCAAGTCTCACAGAGGTGTCGGTTTTCAGAGTGTCTGACTCAGTGATGGTGGCAGCACGCTAATGCAGACAACGATGATTAAATATCTACAGGATGGAGCGCAGGACGTGATGCACAGAGGACAACTCTTCAGCTCTGCATCAAAACAAGGTTCATGACCTGAGTGACCCCCCCCCCCCCCCCCCACACACACACACACACACACAGCAAACAGCATCTGCCGACTACAGTCTCACTTGCTGCTTGGGTGGACCTCCCAAGGGACTAATCTAAACTACACCAAACCTCTAAAACCAAGCTTTAGGGTGGTTAGCGATGTGAGGACCAGCAAAATGTCCCCACAATGTGGAAATGTCCACACCTTACAGGTTCAAGTAAAAAATTTGTACACACACACCTGTCCAACCCCAGTCTTCCTCGCAACATATGTCCACAAGTGTTGGGAGGAGGAGGGAGGGGGGGGGGGCTAAATGAAAAGCCACTTGTTGGCTCTAAGTCTTAGCAGTCCTCCCCCCCCCCCCCCCACACACACACACACACACAGAAGAACCTCAGAGACAGGAGAACAGGTGTTCCAAGTGCCTTGTTGGGTCTCGGGGGTGGTGGTCATAAGAGATTAAGGGAGGGGGCGTTGTGATATGAGCCAACACCTGTCGGGCACACAGCAGCACTGTGCACCACATTTCAGGGATTTGGCAGCCTTCCACGCTAGGGAAGGGAGGGAGTGTAAGAAGGGGCTTTCCTGCGTCTTCCTATGGACCTGGGACACGACGGGACACGTCCCTCACAGAGCTTTAGAATAGCCTAGCTTAGCAGTTTCTAGTCTCATCTTATTAAATCAAGTTCCCTTTTATAATTAATCTCCCACAAACTAATAACTACGTCTAAGTTGTTGATGTGAGTTTTTGTTGTGTATAAACACCAACTCATTTAAATAAATACACCACGTTCCTATTCGAAGTAGACTAACGAGTCAATCAGCTGTTCCCAAAAACATCAGCTAATGGCATCAGACTGAGACCGAGGTTAAAGGACTTTACCTGAATAAACAGATGATAAAAACTGGTCTCTTTTCCACACATTTAAAAGCTCAGACATATTTTTAAATGTGTTTAAGTGAAAACGGTGTGAGCGGTTACCAGCTCACCTGTTGCAGCTTGCTTTTGAAAGGCTTTAGTTTGGAGAAACACAGATTAGGTCTCTACTGCCTACTCTGATTCTGTGACCAGCATCAGCGTTCCTGCTCCTGCAAAACCAATCTAAAAAATAATTCATAGCAGTTGGTGCCAATTTAGTTATATAAACTTTTCATTGTTTTCACATGACACAGTTATGGACGTAGAACTGAGTTTATTAGCAGCTGAATAGAATAACTGGTTAGGGAAATCCCAGTTTATGATTCACCAAGAAATGTGAATATATAAAAAAAAATTCAACCTAAATAGTTTCTATTAAAGGTGCTGTAACGCTTTTTCCAAACAAACTAGGCCAGCTAGCTAGCTTACACCAACACGGTCCTAGAACTCTCACCCCTCCCATCGAGTATAATCATTAGGCCGTGCGCCTCCGGATATGTGAACGTGCTCTGCCACGGTGAACACAAAGCAATACACCGGTCGCTGTTCCTGTCAATATGGCGGAGTCACCGGTAGGTGAAAAATAAACAAACATCTAACTTTAATAACTTGTTTTAACTTATTCATACGGTAAAGAAGTATGTTTTAAAATGTTAATTTATTGATCATTTTCAGTACAAAGAGTAATAAAACGCATGGTAGTCTGCTAGTAAGCAACTGCTTACTGCCTTTTTTGTCTGTCAAATATTGTTGTGGCCGCTTGTTCGTTACTGAAATGGGTTCTTTTTTTATTCTTGTTTCAACATTAGAGCTTCCATGATGAGAGCCTCGCAAGGTCCGATACGGAATATATACCGGAGCCAGCTGTTCGAACTGGAAAAGCTCTTCAAAAATCGCAGCAACAGACCAGAGGGAGGAGAACCAAATCAGGTGTGAGAGGACTTCTTGGAGAAAGACGGTCTATCCAAGACGCATGTCGAGTTGGGGAGTTACAACAACAAAGGATTGCTGAAGAGAGGGTATATTAATTTATAAATTATTTATCTTTATGTGTACTGTTTTGCATAACAGAGTTACCTGCATGTGAAAAATAAATTATACCGTTCCTGGTGAGAGTAATCGTGAGTTCAGACATGCAGCACGCAGTCAGTTTGTGGTCTGGCAATATGGAGCATTGGGACATGGCAACAGGAATACCAAGTTGCTGTGTCTGGAGAATTAGAGACAGATACCCAGACCCACATGGACAATATAGTAGTTTCATCCCAAGCAGAATCTAACATTACACAAAAAACTAATAAGACTGTTACAGATACTACTATAAATTTTACCATCACTGTGTATATATGTTTTTATATTTTGTAACTTGTATGTTTTTTCTAAATATTTAAATTTGTTATTAAAATTTTATATTAAAATTTTTCAAAAATCGACTCTTGGGTTCTTTCTTCCAAACAGCAATGTCAACACACTCATATGACCAAAAAATTAAATAAAAATCAACTCTATGTAGTATTTAAATTTTTATTTACAACCTAAAATGGAGATTTTTTCCACTTTTCTCATGAGACCTAGTTGCTTCTGCTATAAACATCAGGTAAGTGAACAGTAAGAAGCCACTGTGCAGCTGAGATGTTTGAAGAGCTTTTCCAGCTCTAACAGTTGCTCTAGACTCCAGTGTGTTGATCCTCAGAAGCCGATTGTCTCAGTGATGTGGGAGAGTGCATCCTGAAACATACAGAGAGAGAGAGAGAAAGAGATCAGTTTCTTTTTTGTTTTTTCTACAAAAAAAAAAATAAATAAAAAAAAATAACACAAATGTATTGTGAGTGACAGCTCCAGTACGAAACTTAACATAAAAGTCTGAGGAGATGCAGCTGTCTGTATTTGTCCACACCAGCTGAGTGTCACTCATTAAGTGTCCAAGCTAACAATTGTGAGGAATTTTGTTTTGGTTAGTATAATAAAGATTTTAGTGTGTTGAACGGCGAGTAAACCAATCGTGATAAGTATTGATGGAGCAAAATATACACAGTAAACATTAAAAAAAAAGATAATCTTGAATAAAATAGAGCAAAGCATCTTGATTTGTAATATTAAATACAAAAATACACGTATCAACAAGTCTTTTTTACCCGTCTGTCTTCCCCACTTGTTTCTGTAACTGTGGCTGGTTAAGTGTATCATCGGGCCTCTTGAGTTCTTCGCCTTGGTAGTCCAGCTCCAGAAGTCAGCCTCCGCTGCAGGATAGCAGCCTGGATGTCTGAGATGTAGCGATAGTCCTCGTCTACTTTTAATGTGTACAAGCTCCAAATCTTGGATTTCTTGTTGAACAACTTACAGTACCTAAAATAACATTTTAAGAATTTACATTAGTATGCAATTATTCCTATGAAAAAGGTCATTGAACATGTAAACTTTTTACATGTCAACAACTTCAGATGCGACACAAATAGTCAAACACGTGTACACTCTCACATTCACACACTTGAGGCGACAAGATACCCGTTAGCCACAACTGCCCTGTTGCAAACTTACACAAGTGAAGCTGTAATAGACAATTTGTGACATTCGATCTCCCAAAAAAATAGTAGCCACGGTCATTTAATTTGCGTACACAAGGACACAACAAGTTGGATGGAATGGAAATGATAATGGCAACCACAAATCAGTAGCTGTCCTTGATCACACATGACTTTTTTTGTTAAGGTTATTGCATCTAACTACAACTTTCCTAAGTAATTGAACAATGGAAATAACATGTTTAAACTATGCAGTTGAGAGTTGCAATACATTTTTTCTTTTAATTAAGGAGAATACAATGAGATAGCAGCAGACATTTCTGTTCTCACATGCAGCTAATTCACGCAAATTAGTACTACTGTTGACATAAAAGCATACACAATCTCCAAAACATGTATTAGAATTACTTACACTCACCGATCACACTCAGACTCAGAAAAAATGGCAGAAACCGCTGGGGCTGGTGGTTTTTTCATACCATGAATCAGTGGAGTTGAAGCTGATGCATGATCGCAACTAAAAAAACAAAAAGTAATAACATTAGAAGGGAAATTACATGAATGACTAAGATGATCCTGACGTGAATGTCAACAATTATTTTTTACCATAAATAAGTCTTTACGTAGCATTAGCATAACGCGCTATTTGTGCTAACAAAGAAAAGTGCAAATAAAGTCATGCTTAACTATTAAACTAAGCTAGAATCCAGTTCAATCTTTAGAACCCAAGTAAAATAATGAAACAATGCCTTTATGATGCAAATATTTTGTAATACGAAGCATGTATTACCTGTCCAGAAGAAAAATGGCAACCATAGAATGTTTTCAGGCCATGTCTCCCGTAAATGTCGCCATCGTTGAAACGCGACGCCAATATTCATCCTGGTTACTCCTCTTTCTGCGTCCAAACGTTTTTTTGTTTTCCATTAGTGCAAACAGTGTTTTTCTTTAGGGACTCTTTTTTTCAAAAGTTGTAGTAGGAGCCGGCCGTTTCCCCTTTTCTGCCATAGTTCAGCGCGGAACCTTTCACTTCCGGTTCACGTCTGCCGTCTCACGTTAGGTTGTGTGTTCTGCTGAAAAATGAGACCGTGCCCAAAATGTAAGTCACGGGGAAATGCGGATATGCTGAGGTTCGGCGAGACGGACAAACGGGTGGTTCAATCATCGCTTTCGGATTGGCTGAGGTTTTTAGACAAATCCGAGATAACTACTTTGATTTTTTGAGGCATGAAAAAAAAAAAATGTTTTAAGCCAATTTGTTTTCCAAATTTGCTACATAACCTTTAAATCGTGACAAATGGTTAGCTCTGACCATAACTATTCTGTCTCTCCAAACTGAAGACACTCAGAGCGACCCACAATAACATGGTTTCCACCAAGTTAAAAACAGACACTATTCCTTTAAGAGTTTTCATGTAAAACCTGAACATGCCTGAACTGTAGCTTGAAGCGTGATATCTGAGAGCTACGGGGCGGGGGGGAGCAGAGTCAAAACAGTGAAAGGGTGCTCATTAGCTGCTCGCTGGACCAGAACGTAGACGCTATAAGGATCGTCTCTACAACATGGCCATTTCTAGAACCCCCTCTCAGGGAACAAAACCCACTCAGGCGGGTCCAGAAGCGGAGAGTCTCCTGACAAAAGTTAGCACATGAGTCACAGATTCACCTCTGAAACACTTCTATTATCACAGATATGCGAACCATCTCCCAGACCAACCAAACTCAAATATGCTAATGGACGGCTCGGGGAGTTGCATGTGGACACAGAAACTGACATGGAGCTTCCAGAGGCCCTGTGTCAAAGAAATGGTAGCCTGGTGGTAATGCACACAGAGAGCATAACAAGCGGTCACTCCTACTCACTTACCCATACTGCCTCTGGATGAGTGCTGGGTGAATGGGCTGTACTCCGACAGATATGCCTGGAAGAGAAAAGGAGAGAGGGGGCTGGCTGTCAGACACACATCTGCATTTACAGAGGAGGACCAGAGAACAATGCACAGAGGGCACGGCGAGACAGAGACGGGCTGTTTCCAACCTACCACCAAACAACTATTTCAAATGTGCAGTAAAATATGTATGCAGTTGGAGAGCTGGATGTGATCCGGCATGTAAATATGAGTTCTGCATGAATCGTGCTCACAGACACAGCTGCGAGCGAAGGTCATGTGTCACACATTAAACTCCAGAACAACCAGAAGTTTGTCTGTCAGAGATTCTAAACAAGAAGATTGCTGTGTTGTCGTTCTTTAAACGCTCACATTTAGCTCAGTCCTAAAAACTTGTCTTAATTTGGTTTGAGCTTCTGTGAGAATGACGGAGTGGTTAAAACAGAAGCCCTAACTTGCCCATCTCACCTGTCTGCATGCTGCGGGGCTTGGCGCCCAGGTAAGCCAGGTTGACGTTGGCCTTCCTGCCATCGATGATGGGGTTGGGATCCTTGCAGGCTCTCTCTGCTGCTCCTCGATCTGTCATTGTTACCTGGCAGCCACAAACATGACATGACGGTATAACAATTTATTTTTACAAGACCTGATAGCTGTGGTCTGCTACTGGTCAGACATTCATTTGCAACTTATCTTAACACAAACGGGAAACAACCAACCGAGCAGAATGATGAGCTTTAAAACTGCCCACAGCAGCATCAGCCAGCTTCCAGACTGCCCATCAGCCATGGGCAGAGCTGCTGAAATGGATCTGGGCAACAAGGAGCTTATCCAATTAGGAACTAAATAAGTAGATTGGTATTAGTCCACCCCTCCTGAATCCTCCCTGGCATTAGATGAGCCCTTCTGTTTCGATTGCCACCTTCTGCCAACTCTGAGTCACCTCTGCAGGTGGAGCGAGTGGTGGACGTAGGCCACAACCCACTTTGTTAAGGGGACATTTAAGTTAAAAGCTCATAAGTCTCTTTAAAGTGGAACGATGTGGAACAAAAGCCCGCTCCAGGGCCTGTGTTGTGAACACAGGAAGGAATCAGCCCGTGTTTACACTAGTGAAGAGTCATGCTGTGTGTGTGTGTGTGTGGGGGGGGGGGGGGGGACAACTAATCCACCTCAGAAGTGTGTTCAGACGGGGAAAAGGTGTGTTTATCCCATGGCTCCTCCTACAAGATCCGTCTGATAGAAGGCTGTAAAATGCTGACCCCCTCACTATTGCTGGCATAATCCTGGACAGCAACCCCCCCCCCCCCCCCCCCCCTGTTTAACCTGAAACACCGGCCTCCTTCCAATACCTGTTCGACTCACGGAGCGGCTTTCCCTGCGACTTGATGAGCTGTGGTGTAAACAAAGACCAATTGTCCTGCTATTTTTCCCTTTAAGAGGTAAACATTCGTGCATAAGAGCGTTCCAGTCCTTCTTTGACTTGACAGTACTTGGAGCTTTCTGAACTTCTGGTAAATATTTGCATTTTTTTGTACTGCTTCTGTTCTTTGTGACTTCATGTGCCAGGAACTAGGGCTGCCTAATAAATCCAATTTGAATTTCAACTTAGACTTCAGCTCCAAGTGATCACAACAGCAATGCATATGTTTCGTCAGGACTGTATTTATAGTTTGCCTGTCGTTAAAGCCAAACACTCCAGGGTCTTGTGATGGTGGTTTAGTCAAGATGGCAGAAAGAGGGGAAAACACATCAGCAGCATGACTCCAGACCCCCAGATAGCTTTCTGGACATCGTCAAACAAAACATTTTCATACTTTTCGATTCCCAAGTGACTTAAACTGGTTGGTGTCCACATGCATTTTTAACTAATATTTGTTTATTATTATCTGAAATTGGACAATTTTAGGCATTTGTTGATTCTACTATGAAAAAGTAATTTAGGGCTCATAATTTATACTTTCATAAGTTTCAAATCACAACTAAACAATAAAATCCTGCTACTTGTGCATAAAGTTGTGTCTGAAGTCCTTTAAGACTCCAAATGGTGTGTCCCAACTCAATTCCTACGATTTTTTTTCCCCTGCATTTAAACAGCAATATGAAGAATACAAATGTTTACTCTAGTCAATAGAGAGTAAAAAATGAACGTGTCATTTTTACACCCCAATGATGCTTTGGGATAATACCGGTAGGCTATAAAAAAAAAAAAAACACTGGGTATGTTTTTGAGTTTACAATTCCCATGAAGGATTCAGATCAGGGGAGATGAGATCAAAGGAAAATGCAACAACTTTAGTGGAAGGAGACGCTTTGTTGATGTTCTCCGAGTAAGCAAAAATACATGTAAATCATGTCCTCTGGTCCCGGACAATGGAGGGGTAGGGGTGTGCAAGGTCAACCTCCACACTGCTGCAAAATAACCATATAAAGCAAAACTACGCACACACACACACACACACACACACACACACACACACACACACACACACACACACACACACACACACACACACACACACACACACACACACACACACACACACACACACACACACACACACACACACACACACACACGGAGGGGTCTCAGACATGATAATCTTAGTTACACATCAACTTTTGCGATCATTCATCCTTATTAAACGTAAATAGCAAAGCTGCTGAGCAACGATGCGCGTCGGCCCTCAGAACAGGGGGACCTTTCTGACGCGCGCGGCCCGAGTGACTACACATAAAACAGCACCAGGTATTAGAGCAGGGCCTCTGGATCGTTTGAAAACAAAGTTTTGCGTAATTAACTTGGTGAATAAGAACGGTCCGCTTCATACTTACGAAGCCGTAGCCTCGGGATTTACCGGTCTGCCTGTCCGTTATCACCACAGCCTCGTCGATGTCCCCGAACGCTTCGAAGTATTTTCTCAGCGAGGCGTCGTTGGTGTGGTAGGGCAGCCCGCCGACGAAGATTTTGGTATAAGTGGTATCTTTCTGAAGCGGTGTGGGAGGCATGACTTCCAAGGATCCGTTCGCGTACTGATGTAGGAGCATTGGAACACCGAGCCGCTAAAATAAAAGTTTAACAGTTTCCCGACATTTAAAAAGAAAACGCAGCTCTAACCTCCCAGCACGCTTCGCGGTAGATGTCTAGTTTGGTACAACTTAGCTGAGGTTAAGAACACCTGTTAGCATCTATTTTCTGGACTCCACAAGCAGATTCAATACCTTGTTGCGGTTAGCTGCTACGCGACAACGTGCCGGGAGCTTTTATAGCCCACTACATTGGCTCCACCTCTAGATAACTATTGACCAATCAGCGTAGATCTTTGATACCGAACTGGAAAACGGGTCCTCCCATTGGCCCACCCTCTCCCGGTGTTTTACTACACCTGCTAGACTTTTTTTTTCCACACAAAGAACACCGCACTGTACTGAAAAACACGCTGCTCCGAACAGGGAAGTCAATCTTTGTTACTTCTGACCCGATCTCTCATAAATATAACACACAGATGTCCTATTTAGATTTTTTTTACCGTCACTTCATTTTACAACCAAGGAAGCGTCCGTCTGAAAACTGTAGAATGCATTACTGAGACTTGTTCAAAGTCTTAAAGTTACTGCAGCTTAGTGCTGCAGGTACACAAGAACAAACGAGTTTCATCTAAACTAGGGCTGCAAGATTTAAACTCATGTGACCAAAAACCTGACGTTTGTTCCAAAATTAGCCAAGTTATACAATTCAAAGAATAGTATTATTTAGATATTGGATATATTGGCTGTTTAGGGGCTGGTCAGCAACAGGTTATTTCCTAAAAACATTTCATAACAACTTTATAGGTGAATTGATTTAATCATCCAGATGGAAAAGCTGAGGATCCTATAGACCACGCCCCTTTGAAAGCCTCCAGGAGAAAGCGACATACCACCCCAATGCTAAGTATCCAGGGTCAGGCTGACAAAGAGGTGACACCCTAATGACCTCAGTAAAAAGGCCCTTTGCTCACACCTTTTACAGTATGAACTGTTTCACTTTTCACACATTCCCTTTGAAGCAGCCCCTGCTACTATATTCAGATCCTCTTAATCACCTGCAATTCCCCATAAACTGGGATCTGGACAAGTCGTCCCACAGCTTTGATCCCATTTGTCCTGCTGAGACCCCGGTGAAACAGAGGAAGGAGAACACCGATGGTCAACATGCTCCCTCTGCTGGTTAACTCCCATCAAACATTAACTGTTGAATTAAAATTGTGGTGAAGTTTGTAGGTGATGTCCTGCATGCATAAAACAGTTCTGAAGTCCACTCGCTGTAACAAAATTGAATTGTTAAGCTCTAACAGTATGCACTTTTTTTAATTTTACATCCAAATATTTTAACAGAACAATGGCAATCATAAAAAAGGGGAGCTGGACATGTCAAAAAACCCAAAACACCAAGATGAATGACAAATAAAACCCATTTTATGATGATTTCTAAGACCAGAAATATCATGCAGCTTTGTCAGGTTCTTCTGATTGATCCATGCACCACACAGAGCTGTGGCATTGGTCCTGGAGGTGGTAGAAAGCAAGGAGTCTGTCTGGAGCGCACACACACACTAAAAGCAGCAGGTCTTCTGCATTTCCCCACAAGAGATGCAACTTGGCACGTTGAATCTAGAGACAGGAGGAAGCAGTCAGTAACAGAGTTACAAGATTTAGTTTTTATTTCTTTATTTCCTAAAGGATCACCTTTTAGCACATAATCCACCAATTAATGGTCAAAAGATAAGTTCTTACTTCTGCAAAAAGAACTATTTAATTATTCATTACCTAAGTGTTATATTACACATTTAATTATTTGTTTACAAGTAAGTATTTTTAAATACTGCCTTAGAAAGACTCGAGGAAAGGCTAAGACTGAAGGCTCCGCCTCACATGTTTCTGATTGGATAAATCACTCAGGCTGCAACAGCAAAACTCCTGTCAAGGCTATAAAGTGCTACCCCCAGACACCTTGGCTGTGTGAAGGGGTAAAGAGTCACAGGAGCTATCAGGAGACAGGGCAGCCCCATCCAGTGACCACGGTCTCCAGGGTAACAGGCAGCTTCCCTTCTCTCACCATTTCTTGTTTCGTGGCTTCAGCTCCTCTGCTGCGTTCCTCAGGAAGATGTAGTTCTTCTTCTGCGGGTTGTAGTACTCGTGGCCCTGAAGGGATGGAGTGTTTTAGGTGATTCCACGACCAAAAGATGGCTAATCAACGTCTCTTATTTAACAACACGCACCTTGGACCAGTCGTAACTAGATGCATAAGCAAAGATGTTGCCGTTGTGGTTGAAGCAGCAAGCTGTGATGGGCTGGTCCAGTTGTTCCGAGGTCTTCAACTTGGTGCGAGCGTCCTTGTCCCAGAAGCTGAAGCGTCCGTCTGAGCCCACGGTAGCCAGAGTGCCATGGACAGGATGGAAGGAGATGGCGTTGACCTGGAAAAAGTAATATAAATAATCGAGATAACTGTGTCCAATTAGAAAGAGCACGTCTGTTAACACTTGCTGCTGACGACAGATGGTCATTGTTTTTGCTAAACCTATCCACATAGTGTTTTTTTTTATTTAACTAATGCAATACAACAAAGCGAAAGACGTGCTCCTTTTAGCATCGAAGGCATAAGGAAGCTCCTACAGCATAAATGTCCTGTGGCGTTGTCGTGTTGGTTCCGTTGGACCTGTGGCACTTGAAGGTGAAGTTATCTTTGGCTCTGCAGAAAATCAGAGCAAACATTTCTGAATTACCTCCAGCAAGAACAACTTTCTTATTAAATAATAACAACATTTGACTTTCTGCAAGAAGCATGTTGATTCGATGCCTTACGGGTTGGGAGGATTGATATAGTGAATCGCCACTCGGCCCTCGATGCTTCCAAGTGCAAACCCTGTGGGCTTGTTCTGCTTGTCCTTGAATATAGCGACGCAGCGGTGCTGCAAGATAAGAGCAGGACTGGCTTTATATGTTCGATTCAGAGTCGAGGAGAAAATCTGGTTTAAAAGGATCTATTAAAAAAAACTGAATTAAACAGTGGAAAACGTACCTGATGTTTGAGAGGGGAGTCTATTCTGCGGAACTCAGAGGGCTGGTTCTCCAGCTGGTAAACTATAAGTCCTCTCTCAGCTGTTGCTACCACTGCCATAGGGTACACCTACCAAACAGCAGTCACGGAACAAAACAAGTCAGTAAAATAAATACAGCTAGCTTTAGAATAAACCTCACGCTTTTATGAGATACCTACAACATCTGCACAGTAGCATCTCTCAGGCATCTGGAGGGACATCATTGGATTGGGAGAGCGGGTGTCCCAGAACTAAAAATATAAACAAAGAAGCAGGCTAAAAAATGTCATTCAACCTGGATTTTCCATCATTCCATTTTTAAATGTTTAACATTTGTAAATGTAATAAACTAAACATTTATATTATGAAGCATCTGAAGATGGTGCCTGCACCTTCAGCGTTTTATCCCAGCTGCCAGTCATGATACAGCTGTAGTTGGGGGCTTTTATCCAGTGGATTGACTTAATTGAACCTTCGTGCTGTGGGGGAAAAAGATGAGCAGAGTGAGAGGATTCAGCTTCATTCGTGACCACACCTTTAATGCAGCAGAGTGTCATCCAACCTGTGCGATCTGCATGGCTTGGTTGCTGTTTAGGTCCCACATCTTGGCCGTCTTGTCACAAGAAGCAGTGAAGACTTTACTGCCATCCTGGTTGATGAAAACATTGATTCATGAGTTTTTCTACAAGCCAACCACCAGTTTCCACCGCTGTACAGTGAGAATGAGCCAGTCTGAGAAATCATTTAGCTGTGTATGATGCTTGCATCAGCATGTTATCGGAATTAGTGCCACATAGTGACCTGGGTTGGATTAGAGCTGTTCAGAGTGACTTTCACAAAAATACTCAGATATGGGTCTAATAAGGGAAAGGAGTCACATTTGATGGGTTGTATGCCTGCAGTGTGAATGTAGCCTAATGCAGTTTATCCTATTTTGTATACCGCCACCTACATCGCTCCAGCAGACATCCAGAACTGGGCCTGTGTGCATCTGTTGGGCTTTGGGGACAGTCTGACCGTTGTCCTGCACCTCCCAACACCGAACCTGAAACCACATGATACAAACATGTAAAAGAAAGAACAACCACACTTATGATGTCGTACGAAAGGAAAGTAAAAACAGCAAGGATCTTGTTATATCAAGAAAACAATACCAGCTAAAAGATGCAAGAATTAAAACACAAGAGGTTTGATAAAAGCGACAAGCATCATCAAGCAGCACACTACTTTTTAGCTTCAGTAAATAATTCCATTGTTTTTCAAACAAAGTGTGATGTAACACAGCTTTCCAATTTGTTCCTCACAGCCGAGTGTGGTTTGATTTCAATAAGGGTTCAGAATGTTTGTACAGTAAATCTCTACTTTCTCTTTTTATTTCTTATACATAATTTTCTAACCCATATCTGAAATGTATGAATAACTCACATCATTAGCCCAAGATCCTGCGATGAGGAAGTTTCCTGGCATGGTTGGGGGGCTGAAGGCCAGACAGCTGATGCTGTCATCTGGAGGTGAAGTCACTTCAACATCCTAAAAGGCAACATCAAAGCAGGCGAGAACAAAGAATAATGGGAGAAATCGCCAGTGTTTACATCCCATGTAAAAAATAAATAAATAAATAAATAAATAAATAAAGAAGCTTTATTGGTTTTACCTTCATGGGGTTATGGGTGTCTGTTGTCGTGCTCCCAAATACTCCAGTTCCTCCTGTCCCAAAACCAGAGTTTGCTCCAAACAAACTCATTCTGCATTAAGGTTATTCCTAATAACCACCTGGAGGAAAATCCAAAGCCGTGGAGGGAAACCAGGTTATCTTTAAACCAGTTTAAAAAAAAAAGCACACCTCAATTTAGATAACAAGTATTAAATCACTTCAAATTTATGTAGATTTTTTAGATAAGTTACTAAAATAAAATACGGAAACACTAATATAATTTGTTAAAAAGTAAATTACTTTCACACTTTTTAAATAAGTTGTTATAAATAAAAATGCCATGCAACAACAAGAATGCTATTATTTATTTTTAGAGGGTTTAGGGTATGCTTTTGTTATATGTTAAAACGGCTTGCCAAACAAAGATGATGCATCGGATTAGAACATTTATCATGTTTAAACTACAAACACGCAGCGATGGAAAGCAAAAGCGAAGTACGAGTGTGTTTTAGCATCACCCTGACACTGAAGTCTTGATGCTAACCATGTTTATTATACCGTTTGGCATCAGCCTAGCTTCACAGCTAGCAGTAGGAACCTTGGAAATTGCCGCCGATTGACAATTTGTTCAAAAATAAACTTTAGAAATAAAACTACAAATTTAAGACGCCTGTCGTGATTTAGTAATAAAGACCCGTGTGTCAGTACTCGACTTTTATGCGTGAGAAAATAAATACGATGAACTATTCGAAAGCTAATGTTAGCGTAAACGCTTAACACCAAACACTGGCAGTAGCTTGAGCTGCTGTGCCTTCAGACTATTTAACAAATAAACCTCAGATACCTTTCGCTCAAGCTGAGGTTAGGAAGAGAACAGGAAAAACTCCAGATCACTCAAAAATGTGGCGTTTTTGCCGAAATGTGCATCAGCAGCGTGATGATTTCTTCGGTGGTATTGATTGCAGGGTAACGATTTTTAGTTGCATTGCTGCTCCCTCCTGGACCGAATATGAATGCGCTTCAACGACCAAGATAGTACACGAAGACCAGTTAAAAATAAAACGTAACTAAAAAAATTAAAAGAAGAAGGACACGATGAAAGGGGATTCAAATGTGAACAAATAAAATCTATTAAAATATTTTTATTTTAAATGCCATTTTATTAATGTGAGAGCAGGAACATCAACCACAAAAGTATGCACAGCACCAGTTGAGCCACACATTTCAAGACAGTTATAGTTTTGAAAACGATAACATAAAGAACTGAAGTTTTTTTTAAGCACTAAGCTTTAATGATAATGTTTTATTGATTCCAGAACATCTGAGTTGGAATTATGGTTTAACTGAAGTAAAGTTTATCATATGAGTCCAATTCAAATGAGCCTTGTGAATTCTGATAGTCATTTTGTAACTTGCCTGTAGGGAAAACAACCAAGCAAACAAAAAACAAAACAAACAAACAAAAAATTATTATTATTATAAATATTGTTTTGATGAGTTTTCTTCATACAGATCAATACTTTGTGCACTTGACAAGAACATAAAGGTTTTATTTTTTGGCCACTTGAAATGTGATTCTCTGTCAAATAATCTAAATAAATATTATTAAACTAATTGTTGTAGGTAGCTTCATGAACACTTGCAGTTTAGAGAAACAGAGTTTACGTACAAGATTGTTAAACTAAGCCAAGACCAACTAAACATCTCAAATCCCAAAAATTCCAAACTAATTCTGTGGTTAGTCCCCAATATCAGCAGCTTCTCCAGTGCATATTAGCTTGATCAAAATAATGATTGTGACCAAAACAACAAAAATGTCTGATTTCATTTCAGTTATGATCCTTTGAACTTTGTTCAACAGAACATCTTTGTCATTGTTTTCATTCAGATGTGCTCAATTTTAATCCATATACTAGAAAAGTCCAACAAAAGTAGACATAATCATATATAATCCTTTATTTTACCAGGTAAAATCTAATTTTCTATATGTTCACCTTGTAGACCTAGTATAAAAGGGAAATATGCCCTGAATGATAAACTCAGGAACTGAAATGTTGGCCTGTTTTATCTCCAATCCACCAATCCTCTCACATTTGTTTTCAAAAACACTTATTTTAAATTTAATCTTAATCCCACTTATTCTACAAATTGACTGTTGTATAAAACCTTGGTTTTGGTTTGACTGAGAGAATCTACAGGAATAAAATGATAATCATGCTGTAGATGAGCAGATCTGACTGTTTACTAAACAAAGATATAAATAGATTTTTGGTGGGAAAATGGCTGAAAATGAAACTAAAATCCAATTAAATATTTTCATCTCTTGATGTGAGGGAGTGGTGAGATTTGCAGATGTTTGTGGTGGGTTTGGACGACTCTTGCTTTTATTTGCATCTGCAGGGATGAGTCATGTAAGGTGACCTGTGCTGAGATAAACATCTGTAGTGTTTGCTGCTGATGGAACTCAGATTTCCTTTTCAGCTGGAATTACAATAATCCAGCTGATGTAATAAAAGCATGAATTACTGTTTCAAAATCCTTTTTTGACAGCAAGGTCTTTATTTTGGAGATCCTTCTTAATTGATAAAAACTAGATTTAGTCACAGCACTGATCTGCCTGTCCAAAACAAGATCCCCATCCAGCACAACACCCAGAGAAGTCACACTCTTTTAAGAGTTGCCAGTTATGGATCAGCGCCACAAGATGTGTGTGCGTGTGTGTACTGTCTAGCCAAAAAAAAAAGGCCTGACACACACACAAATGTTTCATTAGACCACCCTTAGCGTCATCTGCCTCTCTTCTTATCATGATGTGCTCTGGACTGGATTAGGGTACATTTGGACTCATCCAAAAAGATACAAGGCAACTGGACTTTTTTGTTTTCTTGACGTTTTGCTTCACATCTGAGGAGCTTTGTCAGTTCTGACTGGAAAACGGGAGGGTCAATCTTATGTTTGTTGTAGCTTAACGAGCAGAAACTCACTCTAAAAACCCCTCCTCTCTACCCCGATGTGTCGTTAGCCTCTACTGTTGAGGGAGTCATGTTGATTTGGGGCAGGAGGGTGTGACCTAGACTGAAACAGGAATATGGTTTAGAGCTGCATTACAGGTGCTGGAAAAGTGCAAACTATCTCCTCCCATGTTTATTGTAGGGTTTTCCCATTTGACATAAATATCATCCTTCACTCCTCCATCAAACCATCTTCTTCTCTGTCCAGAATGTGTCCAAATGTTTCTAAAACAAGTTCCCTTGAGGGCTGATCTCCAGCATGTTTTACTGTGTGACAGGCCCTGGTTATTTGAAAAAAAAAAAAAATAGATGCTAAATTCACTCTGCAGCCAGCAGCAGCTGTTCCGTCTAAGACAGATTAACTACACTCTGTCTACAAATTTCTCAGAATATTAACAATAAGACAATTTAATACATGAAAAATAATCTTTATGGGAGATTTTACATGTCAAATTTTAAATATAAGCATTTTAAAGAATGTCATACATAAGTTTTTTCAAGTTTGATTCAAAAGAAAGAAAAACATGGATTTTTATGTTACTACAGTGTGTTCTATGAAATATTTCAATCAAAATAAAACAATATTCTACTGCCTTATGTTAGACTCTCATTTTAGGGTTTTTAAAATGAATAAACGCTGAATTAAAACAGAATGTAACAAAGTGCTTTAACTATGATGCTGTTGGTAGAAACAGCAGGAATCATTCAGTAAACTAGAGCAGAAAACGTTTTTCAGACAAAAGCCACACAAGACTTCACACACATGACCACCAAAGCTTTCTGCCGCCCACGCTTTTTGAATTTTTCAAATCGGTGCAGTACTTTTCGAATAATGATGAGAAGTTTGACAGGTCCAATTTCACTTCTGAAGGACAGATTTCAAGGCTGCCAACTCTCACGCACTGAGCGTGAGACACACGCATTCGACCCTCTTCACACGCTCTCACGCCACATCTCCAATCTCCCCAAACGCGCATCACACACAGTGCGTAGGGCTTAAACGTACAGTCTATGGCTTAAACAAACAAACATTATATTAATTATAGCATTAGCTGCTTAACAACATGCACACAAACAACACTTACGTAATACTTGAAATACTTTAACTGGCGTTATTTCACACACAAAATCCCATCTGTGTAATCCAAGCCGATGGGGTTTTCCCGCTCTGGTTGTGAGATGGGCGGAGCGGTGAGCTCCACCTGCTGTTGATGGGACGGGCATGCCCGGTTCTTTCTCCTAGAACCGTGAGCGCGCCACCAAAATGACTTTAGAAATGCAGCCGCGTCGCGGTCGCCAGCCGATGTTGACGGAACTTCAGTCCCGAATGTTTTTCTTTTGTTTTCACTCATCAGCCACAGATCCTTGCTCACAGCAAGCTGGGCTTCCTACCGTGGTGACTCACTCACATGTTCCCTCTCCTACATTAGTTGGTGACGCAGTGAATTAAAACATTAGGAATCCTGGTATTTTAATTCACCGCTTCACCCCACCATGTGGTTTTTCCTGTTTGTGAAACGAACCTCTCCTCCATAACCAGGTTACTGGTACGGAAGCCTGGAAAGGCCAAAATTCCTCAAACGTTTTTTTCCCTACTGGTTTATACGAATTAATGTAATAAGAGTACATTTTATTAGTCCCACAGTGGGGACAACCACTCATTACAGCAGCACACACACGTAGACACACAGATTACAGGTAAAACTGATTCCAGCCATGTTTGCTTTGATAACTTCAATAACGTCATGCTAATGACCCACATTCCTCTGTTTAGTGGATGCAACTACATCAATGAAGTTAGCTTAACATGATATATTTTTTGGAAGGAAAAAAATATAACTAACTAATAATAACAGGAGGCATCTGGTCAGGATGCCTCCTGGACGCCTCCCTGGTGAGGTTTTCCGGGCACGTCCAACCGGGAGGAGGCCTAAAGGTTGACCCAGGACACGTTGGAGGGACTGTCTCTCACCTGGCCAGGGAACACCTTGGGATTCCCCCGGAGAAGCTGGCCCAAGTGGCTGGGGAGAGGGAAGTCTGGGCCTCTCGACTTAGGCTACTGCCCCTGCAACCCGAATCCGGATAAGCGGATGAAAATGGATGACTGGAAATAACAACTGATAATATTATGAATGACATGATATTGCCCACCCCTAGATGGAATTAAAAAATATTTACATTAATTATAATTAAAAGTTCCTGTGACGTGAGATGATGATAGATAGATGGATGATAGATAATGTGAAGAAGAGTTGGATGTTAAATTGTCCTCACGAAAAGAAAATTTGTATTAAACAAAGGTCAGTTCCCTCTGTAAAGTCAGAAGTACGAAAGAGGATTAGGGCCACAGAAAAAAAAGAATTCTGACTTTTCCCCTGAATTCCCTGTCAGAATTCCGAGATTAAAAGTCATAATTTTGAGAAAAGTCAGAATTCTGAGAAAATGTAATTATTTTCTTTCTTTTCTTGTCAGTGGCTATAATCCTCTTCCATAGAGTAGAAATAAATAAATAAAATGTAGAGCACAAAATGTCTCAATACTAATTTCTCTATTATTCACTTACTTTTTGTGCTTTACTTGGTTGGTACTTTTTGCTTCTACATCTTCCAATACATTCAGCTTATTTTGACAGTTTTGCTTAGTTTCAGCTATTAAGCTGATTCAGCTACAGTTTAAGCTATCCAGCAATCAAACAGCATTTCTGCAAGAAATGCAATTTATCGAGTCATTATATCTTTAGAGCCAAGGTATTCACAGAGACATTACTGGATTGTGTTATCTTTTAATGACCGTTTAAGCTCACATTATTTATGAGTACTTGTCAAAAGAATGTGGTGTGTGAAATTTCCTATCAGATAAATAATGAAAATAGGTGTTTTTTCCCCACACTTAAATGGTACAAAATGAAGAACCCAATTCAATGTTATTGCAACTAGCTTTAGATTAAAAGAGTACCACTTTTATCTTAAAACAGACTTTTACCAGCATCACAAACAGACTGATGGCAGAGAGACCGTGGCTTGACTAATCCTCAGATTCTTCAAGATGCGCTGCTGTTTAAATCTTTCTTGCAGACCAAGCTCCCACTCCTCCAGCTTGGGCCGTGTCTCTTCCTGCAGAACAGCTGGGAGGGTGAAGGCATACAGGCAGCATCTGTGATGGGGGCCATCTGCCTGCCATGACGCTGAAGCCGTTCTCACCATCAGAGGAGTCATGGACAGACAATTTTCAAAGCTCTCGGTCTGATCGAACCAGTAAGTGACAGGGAAACCCAGTAAGACTCCAAACACTGTGCACAGGTTCCACTCCTCAGATTTCTTCTCAACATAAAGAGGCGTCTCAGCCTCTTCATGTTGTTTCAGAAGCAGGAGCAAATCCTCCATCACACCCCTCATTTCTCCTCTCTGTGAGTTAGAGACAGCAGGTTGGTCCAGCGAGTGGCAAACATCAATAAAAGCCACGCTGTCATCACAGAGCACCCGCTCTAGATTTGATCTGACCGCTCCTGTGTTGACGATGAGTTTCCATTTGAATCCAGAGTGAAAAGGGATTCATTTCAGACACAAGCTGGAGGGATTGCAAGGAGCTCAGATACTGCTGGACCATGCTGCACAAGCTATTACTGTCATAAAGAAGAGCAGGTTTAAACCCCACCTCCACAGCCGAGACATGCGCAGCAAGGTCCAGACTCTGAGGAACAGACAGACTTTCTACCAGCAGACAGATATTTGCGAGCTACGTCAACATAAAGGTCCTGAACTGACATGGCTGCATAAAATCACAAGTTTAAAGTCCTTAATGGCTGAACATCTAGCAGTCAGTCTGACTAAAAGATCACAATCACAACGATGCTATTTAAATGTAATTATTTGTTTTAAGATAATCAGAGGTGACATTTATAAAAACTAAACAAGTAAAGATGATTTGTGTCCAAAGTAGCACAATAAATATTTCTGTATTTATTTGAGTTGTTTCTTCTTTGTTGGTTTAAGATGCCTAAAAGACAAGAAGCATGTCAGTTAGAAATAAAGCTTTTGACTTTTACAGTAACTGGATTGTTTTAGTGTAACTGAGAAGATAATCACCATCATCCTGGCTTAATTTTGACACATTAGGTCACCGGCTGAGGAGACATCAAGTCAAAATCGGAGAGATTTCTTGCAACCCAAACGCCTGCAGCAAACAAGCCTACGTTGACCAGAAGATTCCTAAAAATGTAAACAAGACATTCAAAGATCGCACAGTAATTTATAATAACCAACAACAATCAGTCCTCATTACACATTTAGGACAGCTAAAACTGCCTGAAGCTTGAGCAATTAGTTTCTGGAACAGAAACTACAATTCAATGAGGTTTAAGAATGTTTTAAAACAGATGTTAGTTTTGTCTTAAATTATAACATAAAAAACTAAAAATATAACATGTTAGTTGATTTTAAAAATACCTAATGACAAATAAACCCAGAGTAACAAATATGTAAAGTTTACTTTTAGATTTTCATTTAAAACAGTAAACTCTTTATACAAAGAATAAAAAACATCATTAATAAGTTAATTTAAAATCAAACTGTCATTTCTAAATGTTTTAGCAGAGGAGTTATATTAATCTGACTGTGAACGAGTGCAAACAGAAGTGTGTGCTAATGCTAACAGCACAGCTAGCCAACGCACAAACGCACTAGATTTTACATTTCCTCAAATTTTGTACCTTCTGAAGTCATTTCTGTCCGTTGCAAACCGACAGGCAGAATAGACCCACTCAACCACCTTGGAAGAAGAGCCCTTTTTGACATTTGGTCCACTCATCGTACTGACTCAGGCAGCAACACAGCGAAGAGCAAATTGAAAAGAACACACGCGAGATCCCAGCAGAAATTAAAGGGGGGGACAGTTAAGATGTGACACAAGTACGGTGTCTGAAAAGGCTCAACCCGTGAACGTCCTCGTTCGCGTAAATATTACATGGCCAAAGATGTCTACGACAAGATATCGTCGGTTTTTAAAGCTGTGTGAGGAATGGCCCCGAGACGAGACCAAAAAGGCCCGTGATTTGGGAAAATTTCTGCGGCAGAGGGTCGCTTCTGCGTTCCGCGAGAGCGAAAACAAGCAGGTAATGGGCTCGACACACGGGAGGCGACATCGCCTCTCCTCCATTCATTTTCAATGAGACATGAGCGACAAAGCGATAATCGCGGGTCTCCCTCCTACTAAGCGAAACGCGAAAAACGTGCGTGTGAAAGTTTGCACTCGTGCACGTGTCGTGCACGGACGACCCAGCGACGCGATCCCAGAAAGTTTTTTTAAACTTTTTTTTATTTAAATCCTTCAATCAAACAGTCAAAGACATACACATATGGAAAATAATAATAAAAAGATGTAATACATACACAAGAGAGTAAAAGGAAAATAAACAAAATAAATAAACAGAAATGAAGTAAACACAAGAGTAATTAAACAAGTACATTAAACAGCGTACACGTATTCAGAGTTTTAACTGCTTTTTTGTTCTGTACACAAGAAATAGTGGATATATATACTGTTCCAGTTCTGCTCTTAGCACAGGAAAAAAGGGTTTTTTATTACAGAGTTTAGATTTATGGATATGGAACTTAGCAACAAATAAAATCAAGTTTATCAGAAAGAGTGCATCGTTATCTTTACCACTGCCTCCAAAACAACCAAAAATGAATTTTTTATAGTACAGGGAGAAATCAGGAAGAATGTTGTGAGTTAAGAATGAACTGACGTCTTTCCAAAATTTGTAAGTAAATTTGCACGTCCAGAATAAATGTGAAGTAGTTTCAGGGTGTAAGTTGCAAAATGAACACTTTACATCAATATCCTTCTTAAACCTACTCAAACATACCTTCGTGGGGTAAAACCCGTGTAGAACCTTAAAAGAGATTTCTTTAATTTTGTTGGTTAAAAGAAACTTCTGTGGTAGGGACCAGCAGAGGTGGAAAGAGTACTAAAATTTACTACTTAAGTACGAGTACCAATACTTTGATAAATTTTTACTCAAGTAAAAGTAAAAAGTATCGTAAACAAAATGTACTCAAAGTAAAAGTTACTTGGTTACATTTTTGTCAGCGTAAGGATGGCTACATCTAGGTAGTGCTAAATCACAACGCCAGTTCACAATTCGCTCGTATGTGCGCACACACACAACACACACACTCAAACACACACAGCTTGAAGAAGGGATTTCTATCCAATCGGTGAGAACAGGACGTGCACAGTGACTGGACGAGGTTTTTCTAGGATGGTAAGTTTCAATTGTGGTTAAAATTATTCTTTATTTTGAGAAAAAATAATTTTTTAGATGCCATCAGTATGTGAGGTATCTCAATGTTCTCATGACAAAACTCTAACATGAGACTGTGCTCTAACCTGCCACATAACAAGCCAAATGAAAGCCAAACATTTCAGATGGACCGTATGACAGCTGCTAACGTTGGCCCTGCCCTACTTTACCTCTACATTACAGTTCCTTTATCCATGTCCATCCTAGAGCTCCTCTCTGACCTTCATGCTTATTTAGAGCAGCTGATTTTTAAAGTTAGCAGAGTTCATCCTTGGTAGTGGGTTCACTCTCATTTAACCCTTCACCACTGAAATCAGTTTGTTCATCCCAATCCTCCTAAATAATCCTCCAATCGTCCAACTGGAATCCTTAAGGGTCCCGTAACGTCCATCCTGTCAGAACATGCCTTGGGAGCCCAGGTGTTACTAGAACTAATAGTGTCTCCTCACCAGCGTGAGCCTCCAAACTGTGAAGGTTGGTCTCCAAACATGAACTTTAAATTCATGCATTTATCTCCTCTTGTAAAACTTTAACATGTTTTAAAAGGCTATCATGATAAGTTACACCTCCCAGACCAAAGATAAGGTAAAACATTATCGTAAACACTGCAGAGACGTCATTATTTATGAAATGTTTTTTTTTCCTGAGCCATTACTTCAGCCAAGATATAGGATGCATGGATTTGATGAAACCACGCTGTCTCATGCAGTCCTATATGTGTAACACACACACACACACATGCACACACTGCAGCATGTTAGAATCTTTTGAATGACTAATTTAACTACACTGAACTGTTTTTGTAATAATGTAATCTCTTATTCTGGAGTAAAATAAAAAAACAAGCTAAATCATCACATATCTGTGGCATCAAGGAGCATCTTCTGAGTTCAGACACAGGGATGGAGCACAATGTTTACACCTGAACAGTATCAGGATGTTTTAACTCACAGAGGCCTGCAGGTCTTCTGTTTTATGAGCAAACCGCTGATAATCCGCTTGTTAGGAGCGCTAAACGTTATTTTGCTGCTTCCGTGCGGAGCGGCAGGGAAACACATTTCAAACACGGAACCGAGTGTGGTTACCGAACCGAGCAGAATTCTGATGACGTCACACTGGTGCGTGAAGGAGCGGGATCCAACTCACAGGAGAGGAGGGAGAGAGGAGGTAAACAGCGAGTTGAGGAACTGAACCGATGTCTTTGAGCAAAAGTGTACCCCCCCCCACACACACACGGTTTAGACGCGGCACTCATGCAGGTGTCTCATTCCGTTGCAACGCTGCTACACATAATATTTTTAATTTATTAAGCCTATAATTTATTTTTACTCAGTAACAGATATGATTTAAAATGTAGCGAATTACAATTCTTTTTAAAAAACTTACTCAAGTAAAAGTAAAAGTACAGCTTTTAAAAACGACTTAAAAAGTATAAATATACAAAAAAGCTACTCAATTACAGTAACTTGAGTAAATGTAATTCGTTACTTTCTACCTCTGGGGACCAGACTTTTCCCCAGTCTACGTTATGTCCAAACTTGTCCCAATAGACAGTTGCAGATGAAATAGAGACCAAGTCAGCCTGAAATAAAGATCTAATTTTGGAGTTCGATGTTTTATAGGTAGAAAAACAGACTTTGCCTAGTGAAGCTGAGTTAGATCCGAAGGTGATGCTGATAACGGAGGACAGACACGAGCCGTCTTAAATAACATACGAAGACCTGAGGGCACATCATCAAATACTATAGAAAATTCTTTTGGGCTTATTGGAATTTTATATTTGGCAAGAAATTCTGAATAACTATATAGCAGTCCATTCTCATTAAAGAGCTGACTGACTAGTATAATACCTTTGTTGAACCATTTTTCATAAAAAAGAGACTTGTTCTTATAGACAATATTATAGTTGTTCCAGATATAACATCTCTGTGGAGAGAAGTTGTGCTTGTAAAGCATTGCCCACGCTAAAAAAAACCTGTTGGGGAAAGTTGGGGAGTTTAATTGGAATTTTCTGTATTTTGTAATTACAGAGCAGAATAAATTTTAGGCCACCTAATTGTGAAAAGACATGATGAGGAATGAAATCCATATGGAAGTAGGATTTTTGAGATATTGCTTGATCCAATTTATTTTGAATGTATTATTGAGGGAGCTAAAGTCTATAAAATTTAAGCCCCTGGGGTTTCATCTTACCAGCAGACCAGGGCCGTGCAGAGACCTTTGACGGGGCGGGTGCTCAAAGTAAAAAAAAGGGGCACTTATAGAGCAATCCAATAAGTTAGAAAATTCAGATAATGAGACCCTTGGGTTCAAACAACATAATAAAAATATATAAATTAGTGTCATTAGTGTTAATGTTAGTTCATAAATAATAGTTTTAGTTTTTAAAGCTGACTTATATCTAGAAATGTTACAACCACATTTTTGCCTCTGATCTGAGTCCAAGTTGTTTTATTTTTGATTATCTTCCAATTCTGAGTCCTGTTCTGATACCAGGTGGTGATGCAATGCATTAGAAAAGAAGAAAGAAGTCGTCCTTCTGTCTGTATTTGTCATTTTGTTATTTTAGCCTGAAAAGGTCACTCATTCAGGAAGTACATTTAACAGGAATCAAGATACTTTATTGCTATTACACAGGTGTACAACCAAAGATATGTTGTGCTTACTAAAGACACCTCTAGTAAGAGGTAGTAAAATAAATGTAAAATAAATGCAACCACAAAGACTTATCCATTGTGATCTACGGCTATGTTAGCTGAGATCTTTTTCCTGTCAGTAGAAAATTCTTGATCCCATTCCATGATCTCACTGAACTTAACACTAAACATGAGAGCTCTGCTACCAACCTAACAACAACACCCTTTACACAAAGGCACCATCATCCCATGCATGGCAGGAGTCTCAGAGAAACTTAGAAGCATCTTCTCCAAACACAACATCCCGGTAAACTTTAAACCCAACAACACCCTCAGACAGAACCTGGTCCATCCAGAAGACAAAACACCCAAACAGAAGCTCAGTGGGGTCGTTTATGCAGTCCAGTGTAGGAGCACTGTCCAGATGTTTACATTAGAGAAACTAAACAACAATTACACAAGAACATAACACAACACAGGAGAGCCGCCTCTTCAGGTCAACACTCTGCAGTCCACCTTCACCTGAAGGACAAGGGACACACCTTTGAAGATGACAAAGTCCACATTCTGGACAGAGAACATAGATGATTTTACTCTCTCAAATCATCTATCTATGTCAAAACGTGAAAACCCCACTTTAAATAGGGGCGGGGCTTAGATTTCACCTTTCCAGAACCAATAATGCAGCTTTGGTCAAGGTCAAGGTCAATTTTACTCACAGAGCGCATTTACAGCAGCAAAGCTACACCAAAGCGCTGTACAAGGTAAAACAAATCAAGATACAACAAATCAACAATAAAAACCTAAAATAAGATGAGCACACAACGGTCACAATCTATGATAAAAACTGTTAAAAACTATTAAGATGCTCAAGTCAACCTGCATTAAAAGCCAAATCAAAAAATTGCATCTTAAGAAGGGATTAAAAATGCTCTACATTCTGTGTGGTCCTGATGTTGAGAGGTAGCTTGTTCCACAGTTTGGGCCCAACCACAGAGAACGCTCTGTCGCCGCGAGTCTTGTGGCGGGTTTTTGGAACTGTTAAAAGAAACTGAGAGCTGGACCTCATGGTTCTGGCAGGGATGTAAGCGGACAGCAGCTCAGAAATGTAAACTGGGGCCAGGCCATGAAGGGATTTAAAAACAAAAAGTAAAATTTTGAAACGGATCCTGTAAGAGACAGGAAGCCAATGGAGAGAGGGCAGAACCGGGGTTATGTGATCCCACTTGCTGGTTCCAGTCAGCAAGTAAGCCGCTGCATTTTGGACCAGCTGAAGTCGGTGTGGGGAGGACTGGTCCAGGCCAGAATACAGGGAGTTGCAGTAGTCCAATCGGCAAGACACGAACAGGTGGATGACATGTTCGAGGACATTAGCAGGAAGGTATGGCTTCACCTTTGCTATCTGCCTTAAATGATAAAAACCTGATTGGACCGCTGCACTCACCTGTCTGTACAGATTAAAAGATTAAAACACACCAAGGTTTTTAACACAGGGTTTTAGAAAACCAGAACAAGAACCAAGAGGACTAAACGTTGTTTAAAAGATTAGAACTTTTTTTGAATCTCATTCAGTTTCAGTCTAGGTCACACCTTCCTGCATCTAATCAACACGATGACTCACCATCAATAGAGGCTAACGACTCATCAGGAGATGGAGAGGCGGGGTACTCAGAGTAGTTTCTGCTTTTTAAATAACAACAGAGCTACAGCTTATGAGCTTGACTCTCCCATATTCCAGTTAGAACTGACAAAGCTCCTCAGAGGAGAAGTGAAATGTTTTAAAGAAACCAAAGAAGTCCAGTTGTCTTCATCTGAACTCTTTGGACTAATATTCAATAATAAAAAATACATAATAAAGTAATAAAACGTATATAATTATGCTCACATTCACTTTTACCATCTCTTTGTGGGAGGCGGAAAATTTATCAGGTTTAACCCTTTTATGACCATAAATATAACAAGTATTTTTGTGTTTTATGGCTTTAAAATTGTAATAAAAGTGTAAAATGTTTGTAACTCTGCTCCTTTTGTCAGAACAACCTCAGCTTTCAGTGTCTGGTTTGTATTTGTGTTTATGTTTATTAAAGTCTGTAAAACTGCAGCTTAAAGAAGTGGTAATGCCCCCCTCAGAGACTTACTCCACCCACGTATCAATTTTAAAAACTGCAGCATTTGTAGGCGTTGCCTGGAGGACCGAGAGGGCGGAGCCGCGGCAGTGACAAAGACGATGGCTAACTAGACGATGCTAGCTCCCTTCACTCTGAGCAGTTATTAGAAGTGGAGGACGTTTCTCCCCCTCCTTACTCAGACACTCGAGAAGAAAGGGACCAAGTCTATTTGGAGGAGACAAGCGGACCTGAGCCTTATTGTTTTGAGCTTGTGAGTTGCCTGAAACTAGCAGAACTGACCCAACAGAACCAGCTCTCAATGGTAAGTAGCCATAGCATCAGATTAGCTCCACGGCCCTAGAGAGCTAGTATTCAGCACGTTTTAGAGGTTTATCTGCTTCAACACACCTGGTTTTAATCAGCAACAAATAGCTGAGTGCAGAGGTCACCACTGGCCACTAGGGTGTGCTGCGATCAAGCCTCGAGGGTGTGCTGCGATCAAGCCTCGAGGGAAAAAGTTGTATTCACGGACGTGCCGGAAGTCACGTACATGTGACGATCCCTCACTGTACATATGCTGCTTCTCATTTGGGTTACTGCTGCTCAACCATCACACTGCTGTCTATCCATGCTACTGTTCGACTTTTATCTGTAAGTCTTCACCTGCTTGTTAAGCTAATGTATGGTTACATTGTCAGTATACACGCTAAGCCGCGCTGCATTTATTTACCCATTTTGTCGCATTGCTTAGCTTTGGTCTTCAGCCCATGCTGCTGATTCACGCTGCCGTTAGCTTCTGCTCACTCAGCTTTGTATGTCGCCGCAGGGCTCCTTCATCCTTGTCAATAAAACCATTTGACATCGAGGAGTGTATTTCTTCATGAAGGAGCCATGGTGGTCGTCAGATGCTCCGTTCCAGCCTGCACGTTCGGCACCGATGACGTGTCTGAGGCTCTCGCCGTGGCGCTACTGGCAAACCATGGCCTAGCCCATCAGAGCCGGACCGAACCTGCTGCGCCCGTTCGGGCCCCGGACCTGCCTGGCCCTGCGCTGGATCGACCGAGAGTGGATGTCGGCATGTCCATCGAGGAATGGAACGTCTTTACTGAGCAGCTTAACAGCTAATCTAACCTGTTAAAGCAGGAAAACCACTGAAACGTGCTGGATAGCAGCTCTCAAGGAGACTTATGCTCAAGTTAGTCTGCTGCATAGAAAGTTATGAAAATACCCCATGAGAAAATTATTCTGTAATGTGTTCAGCTCACTAAAACTGCCCTGATTTATTTATTTACTGATAACAGCTGCTCTCTTGGTTCTAGGTCCTCTGGTGTCTGCAGCTGGTCTCTGGTGTCGTCAGGATCAGGAGCTTCCGGAAGAATGTGCCTTTCAATGACTCTTTCCCCCTTATTTGTTATATTAATTAAATAAATCTCAATTTATATATTTCCTGTTTTTGTTCATGTCCATAAATACTTAAACATGCTTGAAATTAAAACGAGCTTTTAACAGTGAGGTGCTAGTTTAATTCATCACAATAGAGCTAGTTAAACGTGCAACAATGTGATAATCAATGTAATTTATAAATATCCATTAAAATATCAAAACTGGAATCTAAATGAGATATTTGGCAGCACAAAAAACTTGTCAAACACAATATTTATTATAATAATTGTAGGCAGACAGGAGACAGAGCTGATGGAGGTTCTCAGTCATCGAAGGAAGGCTGAAGGCTTTCCAGGAACAGGAGATGTGGTGTTGTCTCTTCTCTCTCTATTCTGCCAGATGAGCTGATAGGTTACAGGTGTGTGAGGACATCCTCATGCTGTCACAACCAGATGACAGGAGTTATCAGGTGATCAGCCAGGCTAATGATGAGATGCAGAAAGAAAACAAATCATGCAGAAAGAAAACTAATCCAGGACAGTGTACAGTAATATTAATATGTGGTGTTGCTCACCTTATGTGCTCTTATAGAGTATTAACGTGTGCCTGCCTCATGGTGTAGAGTCCATATTTTGCTGAGTGTCCTGCAATAATGCAGGTTATTAGTTAATTTACTTTTGATAGCAAAAACAAAATATTTAATGTAAAAGTTATTTACCAGGTGAATCAGCTCACACGTCACCACCAAGTGTCACAGGAGCAGAATCAGTAGCCTCCTTCATGATGTAATCACATACTTATTTAATTGTTAATATCTTAAAAATTCTGAAATGTTTTAATTTTTTTTTACCTTGAACAGTTCACTGAGCTTGCACTGTCACTGAGGTGGAAGCTGGAATCAACAGCAGACACCTCACATCTTGGTCTTTTCAGGGGTGTGGACGCTGCTCTCGGACTTTCTGGAAGATGAATTTCCGTCATGGTCCCTGTGTCACAAGACACACTGCGGCTGTGAGCTCTATTCTGGCTGACTATGTAAAAACAAAGTAGCAGCACATTTATAAATGTTTAAAAGAGCATAAAATCACGTGTAACAATAATCTGTAAAACTAATTAAAACTAGAAGTAAAATGTTTACATAGAAGATTATTAAAAATAATTCACCTTTGCTATGGGTAAGGCTTCACGTCAGCCTGGACAAGTGCATTGTTGCATCTAAATCAGTATGACAGCCAGTGTCTTGGGTAGATTTTGCCTGACAAAAGAAATAGAAATACATTGTTGTTGGGAGTTTATAAAGTCAGATAATATACAAAAGAAACTGTCCTATATAGGCGCTTTATAACATTCCTAGTGTGTGATCGTTGTTATAACGTAAAAGTCAGTCACATATGATGTGGAGAGCCTGAAATGCGACCTCCTGAACAGAATTCCTTACAGAACAGGGTCACAAGCTGGATTTCATGCTGTAATGCTGTCTGTCAACTAGTGCTGCGTTAGTTAGAGACACTGTTGCAGAATTACCGACTGACTAGCTAAAGGAAGTGAACCACGTCTCTCAGACTTTGCATTTAGGTAGGGAATTGTCTTTAGAAGATGTCAAAACTTTTATTTAGGTTACTCACCTCAGACTGGAGCCCGCCATGGTGGGGGAGCAGAGGCGGTGGGCTGCATCTAAATCGCGGAAGAGCCACGGTGGGCACAGCCTCCCTCTTCAAACGGAGACGTGCAGAATCGCAGGTAAAATGCTGGTTGCAAACTACAGCACCAGGCGGGAGCTGAATATTTTCCAGACACCGATTGCGTGCTACCACTGGCGCCTAATTTGTCCAGCGGAAAGGAGTGCAACCCCACAGAGCCACCGCAACCATACTACACTACACCTTCTCACCATACTAACACGATATGGAGCACTAAACCCAAACTACTTTCCTAATTACACTAACAGCCAAAGACCAACTAAACTACAATATCCAACAGCCAAACTAACACTAAATATGTATTTATAACACTAAAAACTATGCTAAAGACTAGGATATGCTAATGCTATATGCTAATGCTGAACTACCGCTAACCGTCCTACACTCACTTGCAAATCCAACTCCCAACTCGCCACAAGGCGTGGCCGAGACGCTCGATGCTTTTATAACTTTGACACAGAGCTGCTACGTAGTACTCTACTTGTTTACGTAGTATCTTACTCTTTAGCCATTGGCTAAAATTTATTCAAAATGAGTCAAATTCTATGTTTTAAGCTGAAGGTGGCGCAATACTGTGGTATTCAGGCAGAATTTTTAATTTTCAAAGAAAATGCACCAAAATGCTAAAATAATGAATACACACATTTAAAACACTATTAGACACTCATTTATACAGTCCATCAGCAAAAAAAAGTTAATTTAGACATTAGTTGCTCTTTAAATGAAAAAAAAAACTAATTTGAATTTTCTTTACATTTATTACTAAACAGGAACTTCAAAATGACTTGAGCAAACTATGTCAAAAGAACTATTTAAACTCAGAACTGTGTTGCAAACACTCAGAAAACAGTGTGACCCCTGACCTCATGTTAACCAGTTTAATGACTGCAGCCTGTCTGTGACCACAGGTCTACGCTCTGGTCCAGAGAACGGGATACAGTAAAATAAATACTAGGTATCATAAAATAACACTCATGGGCTACTTCACCACTGTAGCTGCATTTCTACCAGCATTATGAAGATCAATAAGCCAGATAAAAGGTCAAATCTAAACATTTCATTACAAAAAGTTAACTAATAAAATTCTGCACTGATAAAATGATATTTTCAGCTAAATAAATATTTATTGTACGTATAAATAATGCTGGAATGAAGCTGAATCATTTAGTAAACAGTGGAGTGTTCAAATAAAAACCAGTGTGACTTTAATCTGTCCCTCCTCATGTCACCATCTACAGAAACAGCCTTCTGGGACACCTGACCAACCAGGTGGATTTTATTTGTGATGTTTCCATAACTTTATAAAAGTTGCTGATGGAGAGGATCAGATCATCTCCTCCTTTCGGTTCTCGCTCTCCTGTCGTGGTTCGCTCCGTTTCTTTCTGTGACGCTGCAAAGCTGGTTTTCTTCTAATAGCGATTTTTGGAGTAACATGAATTACATCATGTAATACCTCGTTGGAAAGCTTGTTTTATGTACTTTTAGAAACTGTTTGAATTATTTTTATTCGATTAGTATTTCAGAAGTTACGACCCGGAGAATCTAGAGTGAGACACATCCGTGATTCTTTGAGTTTCTGCAACACTTCAGGAGAAGTCTCTCTCATGTCTCATTTTCTGTCCCAGACATGCAGCTACCTGACTCTGCTCCACACACACTAACCACGGACTCAAACGCACGTAAACAAAAGCTCTGATATTAAAATCTATCCAGCTGACGTGAAGCAGGCAGAAAAAAAACTTAGTTAGATGAACGCAGACTCCTGTCCGCAGGGAAAACACCGGTCTGTCGTCTCCATGGCTACAAAGTAGAGCGACAGCAAGGACAACCAATCACACGTTAGTATGATGCGGCAGAGCCAATCAGTGAGCTTGTAGGCGGGTCTAAGGGAAAATAGCCTTCAGCTTGAGGTGGCTGCCTCCGCATGGTCCTAGTGCCCGATTTGTATCACAGTATAACAATTTTGTACGGTAAAATCTGACGAACGACCGGAAAAATGGCACTTTGGGCACTTCGGACAAAAGGGGCAGGGTCTCAAGCACCCTCCGCACCCCCCTCTGCACGTGCCTGCAGCAGACGTAGCCAAAGTGCAGCCAAACAGACGCGACAGATAACTAAAGGCGAAAGTTCAGTTTGTTCACTCTCTAACTATAGAAAACAGTTCGGTTTGCGGAGCTCAGCAAAGCACGTCCACTCAGAGCGCCATCTTGGTCGCCATAATACGCAATCCCAGAAAGTTGAAATATTTTCAACATTTCATCGCTGTCGCTCGGGCGAGGACCAATCAACGGAGGTTTCATTCACTGACCAATGAACGGACAGGATGCTCCGCACATCTCCGAGCAAACTTGGAGGAGAAGTTGATTATTATTATGTTTTATATAGTAAAATCAGAAGTAAGATTTCACATAACTCTATTAGCAACTTGTGAAACATCATATCTACCGCTTTATTAACTCTGAACCGCTTAAATAACCTTAATTCCCTCCAACCTGACACAGCCAAACAAAACAACAGAAGTTTCGATTTCGCCATGGAACAGAACGCGTAGACGGCTCTGCCGCTGGCCGCTGCCGCGGATCGCCTCCCGTGTGTCAGGTAATAAAAGCGACACATTTCGCTGATCGCGGTCGTTTGTCGCCTCCCGTGTGTCGAGCCCATTACTGCACACTTTTCCCAAGTGCACTTAGCTGAAGTCTGCAGGGCACGGTGCGAGTATTGAGACTGTTTTGGTTAGCTGAGCGAAGAGAGTGCATAGGGGCATGCACCTGAAGCAGCCCAGCCCGGGTGGGGTACCACCATTGAGGGAGCGGAAGACGAACAACAAGACCTTAAACTTTGCCTGGCAATCCACAGGGAGCCAGTGTAGGGGAGCCATGACAGGAGTAATGCGTGTTGTTTTGTTCGAGCCTGTCAGGAATCTAGCTGCCGAGTTCTGAACCAACTGCAACCGCTTCAATGCAGCCTGACTCAGCGCAAAATACAGTGTAGTAATCAAGTGGTGATAAAACAAATGCATACAGGACGAACTCCAGATATGTCCTAGACAACATTGGCTTGATTTTTGCCAGATTTCCACACAATCCAGTCCTGTTTGACCATTTTTTGATAAACTTTGAGTTTATCATAACTTTATTTATCTAAGTTTTTATCTTTATTATTTATCAAAGTTTATATATTTTTCTCACTTATCTGTTCTACTGGTTTTCTATTTTCTGATGTATGTTAAGGTCCCTCTCAAAAACCAGATGTTTCATCTCAAGGGGCTTTATCCTCGTAAAATATCTGAGCAGATCCATCAGGATTGGGGGGGGTGAACTGGAGCTCCCAGAGAAAAACCCCCATGCAGCACAAAGAGACACAAATATTATTTGGACGAATACTTTCTGTGACATAATCCTTGTGTTGCTTTTTTTTTTATTACAGATTATTGGGTACACGTAGTGGTGCTGTGTGCCAGGGAAGGGACGTGATTGATAGTCACCCTTGATGGAAATGCTTTTCTAATTTATCTAAAAACTAACAATGAATGCTTACAGCATTCAAATAAACACCGGGCTAAGTTTGATTTTTTTTTCAGAAGTCACCCAAATTTAAGCTTCATTCTGTTCTTAAATTGCTGCCATTTCAGCTTCAGTTTAACGTTTATTCCAGATGGGACCAATGTGTGTCTTTTTTCTGGTGGAATTGATTCAGGAAAACTGGATAGGGTCTTAAAGCAGAACATCCTGGGAAGAACAGTTTATCCTGCCTGGGAATACTGATTGGAATTTTATTGGGTGGCATGCTGGGAAGAGTAGTTTCATCATTTTTTCTTAACTTATTTTTACACAAGGGAAGTCCAAAATTATCCGCCCATCTAAACGATTTCCTCTTGCTGTTTTGGGGCAACAGGGAATGTTCTGATGTGACAGATTCTTGATCTTCACTCTTTTCTGAAGACAAATCATCATTGTCTTCACTTTCAGAACAAGAGCTAGAAGAATCAAAATCACTATCGTCTGAAGATGGAAGGTTAGCATTAAATTGTTCAAAATTCTCCTTTATAAGTGACAAATCATCAGGTGTAAAAACACCTAACTTCTGCAGCACAGAAGGATCGAGTTCATATCCACTTAAAGAGCAAGTCACCCCCAAATAAATTTTTTTTTGCTGATATTCTAAATAAATGAGTGTCTAATCATGCTGCAGACACGTGTAGTCAATAATTTGGAACTTCAGTGCATTTTAGTTAAAATTTAAATATTCTGCCTAAAACTGGCAGTGTTGTGCCATAGTCAGGTAAAAACTCTGCACTGTATTTTAATTTAAATCTGCCACCGCTATTGGCTAAGAGGTATGCTATGATGTAAACTGGTACATTATGATGTCACAATGCTGTCGTGAGCCTGAGTGTGTGTGTATTTGTTAGCGGCTCCGCCCTCTCGGTCTGCCAGGCAACAGCATTTGTTGCATTTTTCAAACATGAAGTGGGAGTGGAGTTAGACTCTGGTAGGGGTTGACTTGCTCTTTAAGTCTGTGCTTTCATCTGCAGGCTTGTAAGAAAGTTCATTGTCCTCTGCAGTTACCGACGCTCTTTCAACTGAACTCTCTTGTAAAGCTAGGGCCCTTTGAATCGTTGTCCTGTCCTTATCAAGAGGCCCGATCTGAAGTGTCTCATCACCCAGATCCAACACATTTGTTTCAACATCTCCTTCATCCAAAGCATCTTCATCTTGATTGAGTTCATCCTCACTAAATTCACCCTCTGAAACTAAACATTCAGCTTCAGTTTCCTCTGAAGATAATAAATCGTCAAAAATATTTTCTTTACTATCAACGTTGCCTGAAGCTGATGTTTCCTCCTCACTAAATTCATCCTTTGAAACTAAAAATTCAGTTTCTGTGGCCCCTAAATTTTCTAGCATGTGTGGAACGAAGGATGCTTCATCCTGACCTAATCCATCCAGAATTACGAGTTCTGCTTCTTTTAGTGTAAAATTTTCTTTTAAATGGAATAAAACTTGAGGGTCGCTTTTATCTAAAGACAGCTCAAGATTGTGATGATTCTGACCAAACAAATCCACGTTGACGTCTTCATAAGAGACAGATTTGTCATCAAAGATTTCCTGTGAAGCCAGAAAGGTGTTTCTTGTTTTAGAGGTAATTTCTTCAGAAAATAAAAACTTTCTGGCTGTGAAGCAAACAGCATTGATGTCTGAATGCTGGTAACAAGCCTTACAGATTTACAGAGAGGACAAGGCAAAAAAAAAAAAGAAATAAAATAAAAAAATATAAAATAAAGAAAAGAAAATAAAAACTGAATAAAGTCATCTTCTTGATCGAATAAATTCATTTCCCCATCACTATTTTGTGAAGCTGGTATCTCGTCTTCAGTTTGACCTAAATTTGAGTTTGAAAAGCGAAAAACTTGAATTCTGCTTTCATCAAACGGCAACATCTCAACAACATCTGCTGTAACTTGGGATTCATGTTTCCAGAGACATTCTGTTAAAGTGACAGCTGTTCCTTCTAAGTTTCTGATATTTTCATGGTTGGACGCCTCTGCAGTCTTACAGCTGGCTTTACCCGATGCACCGTAGTCCAGCAGAGAAGAGAATTCTCTTTCTGAGTCAATAAGTGAATGTTGGTCATTTTTCTGGGCATCCGGTTTTTCTGTGGGGCTGACTAGGGATTCATAAAGGCAACCTCCCATTTCCTCAGGGAAATGTAGCTCTGAAATCTGAGATTCATCTCTCCCAAGATAAGCGACTGAGATTTCTTGTAAATCTCTGTTTCCATGACTGTAAGGTGTCTCTGGAGATTTAGAAATCCTCCCCTCACCGTGAGAAATAAATGGATTAGTTTCTCTGTCAGAGTTGGTTCTGGGTTCAGGTCTGACGTTAAAATTATCACCAGAAACTGACTGAAATAATTTTTCTGAATCTTCATCAAATTCTTCATTTTCTTGCTTTTCAAAGAAATAATCAAAGGTTTTTCTAACAGTTTTAATAACAAAGTTTCCCAAAAGGAAGCCTGCGGTTAAAAAAGGCATCTTGCTACAAGACTCGATGTGCAGTGACTGGTCTCTTCTGTGTGCTCAGAGTAAATGAGCTACCGCTGTTCTATTTCGTCTAGTCTTAGCCCTTAAGCGAGCTGCTATTGGAAGGATGATCTCCGCATCAGCCAATCATGAAGAGCTTAAATGTACGCCCACCAATAGTGGGCCCCCTCGTGGTATATAACCGCAGTGACCCCACTGCTCGCCTCCTTTTTCTCTTCATGCCAAGCTGAGAGCTTCTTAAAGAGCAAATTTATCCAGAAAGAGCAAGATTATCCGAGAAGACTTACCAGCCATGTCCAGCGACGCCAGACCCTGCCCGACCTGCCAGTCGGGCTCCATTTCCAGCGGAGACCTGCACGCTAAGTGTGAGGTCTGTCTCGGGGCTCACCACGCTGGCCTGGCCTTGACCCCGCAGGCCTCGTGCCCGTTCTGTGCCGCTCTGCCCGTGGCAGAGAAGATTCGCCGGGTCGAGTACTTCACTCCCGCCGCCGACGAAGAATTTCCGGTGGCTGACTCGTACCCGCTGGACAAGGCGTTGGATTTCTTCGACGCCGGTCAGGAGCCGGCTGGCTTCAACCGGCTGGATGACGTCACCGACAGCGAGAACTACGACGAGGCGGCATCCCTCCTAGACATAACGGAGGTCGATGAGCTCCGCCCAGCGGGTCCTTCTGCCCCAGTGGCTTCTCGCTCCTCCCTGCCAGCAGTAAGAGCACTGCTCCAGGAGCTGCCCGCCATCATTTCTGCGGCAGCAGCCCACAAGGGGCTAGCTGTGCCAGAACCAGCCCCGCCTGAAGCTCTTCGGGGCAACTCAGACACGCTGTCTAGACCCTATTTGGCCGCGCTTCCCTGCTGCTATGAGCTGCTGGTCTGCCGCCTTCTCCGAGCCTGCCAAGCTCAAGGCACCAGTCTCCACCTTTGCGCCCATCACCAAGGTCGAGGGGTTTTCCGACCAAGGCTGGCCGTCCGTTCCTCCGCTAGAGCCGGACTTGGCCTCGCTGTTTGGCGCCAAGAACCACCTCGCTGGCCCGCGAGCTGTTCCCGCTTCAAAACATGACCAGCTGCTGACGCGGCTCACCGACCGCGCACATCAGTGTGCCTTTCAGACCGGCGCTGCAGGGAATAACATCGCCCTCCTTGCCTTCGGCGTCTCGAGGATGATGGAGGAGCTGGAAGCCCCCGAGGAGTCGAAGGCCGTCATTACTAAGACTGCTGATGCTATCCTCAATTTGTGTGCTGCTGTGCTCACCGGTTCTGCTCGCATCGCTGCCTGGCAGACCCTCATCCAGCGAGCGATCTGGCTCAAGGCCCTGCCCTCCATTCCGGAGCATCTGCAAAGGGAGATGCTGGACGGCATCACCACCGATGTTCTGTTTGGTCCCCATCTTATGGGCGTCATTGAGAGGGCTCAGAAGACGGCCGAACTATCGGCTACGGTACGAGACCTGGTTCACCCTCGGTCAGCCTCGCACTCCGGCCGTTCTGCCAGAGGATGGGACGAACGGCGCGGAAGCTTCAAACGCCCAGCTGCACCGTCCGCTCCACGGAGCCGGCCTCCCGCTTCGGCTCCACATCAGCGGGACCAGCGAGATGGCGGGCAACGGTTCCGGCGGGGCCAGCAGACGCCGTCTTGGCAGTCCCAGGTGCACGAGCCTCGCCGAAAGCAGCCACGGAAGTGACTCTTTGGGGGGAATGTGTGTGTACATGATTGTAATGATGTTGATGTTGGTTTTGAAATAAAACCCAAAACATGTCACTCAAAGAGCACAATCCTACAGTCCTCCGCAGAATCTCCTGCCGAGTTCTCACACATGTTCCCCACACCAAGCACTGCTGCACGCACACATGTTCCTGCAGGCAGTCATAATATACGGCCAACCGTAAGGGTGCGCTCCATTGGCGCTCCGGCCCCAGCATCCGGCCGGGCCCAACTCTCACCACGTCGTCGGGTGGGGCGAGATGTCAGGTCGCTGTCTCGACCACGCGCGGTGGCACAGTGCGCGGCTTCGTCCGCTGGCACTTTGTCGCCCCCGTGCACAGGCTCGGCTCCCACTCGTCCTTCACTTTCGGACTCCACGCTCCGCAGTGCGGACCAGCCTGTTCCAGCTGTTTCGCACCCGCCCTTTCGAGCGCAGCCCTCCATGGGTCGCCCCCAGTTCTCTGGTACGGGCGACGGCGGTAAGGGC